AAAACAACACATGAATATATCTGTTAAGGCAAATGGCAGGGATTAGTGTGGTTCTTATCCAGTTAATAAATAACACAGTGAAAAATAAAGGAAGATGGTCAACAAAAACTCTAAAGATGTTCAACTCCTTCCTCTAGTTCTCCAGAAAGGACTTTCTGTATTAAAGTTTGCTTTAAAAAAAAAAAAAAAAAAAAAAAGAGAGAGAGAGAGAAAGAGAAAGAGAAATTGTTTAAAAAATGCATTTGCTACCAAAGTAAAAATATTAAGCACTCAAAATTCAAGAAATGCCAGAAGGTATAGGTCTTGTCAGATGTTTATATGACAAACATCTATATATTGTTGTGTTACACAGGGCACTTGCTAAATGAATATTTTTGTTGGATATTGTGAACAATTTGTCCTCTAGGACTAAAATGGAAAATGGAAGTGACTTTAGAGACCAATAGCTTTGTGATGCCAAAAGCATCAAATAACAAAACAACCAAACATGACCAATAAAGGTTCTGGCTCAAAATCTCAGTGAAATCAAGGGGACTCAGTCCCCATTCCATGGACTTGGAAATGAATAAACAAGAGAACAAAAATATTGGAAATGCTATACTGCAAAACCCCAGAAACCAACTCCCAATAGTTACATCTTTTTACAGTGTGTTTTTTTGTTTGTTTGTTTTTTTCTTAGATCAGCACAGCAAAAATGCAAGAAGTCACTATGGACATTGGCAGACAAAGGCAATCTACACAAATCTTTTAATTTCAGACACAGGCAGAAGTAATATTTAGTATGGCCTACTGTTTTTTTTTTTTTTTTTTTTTTTGTTTTGTTTTGTTTTTTTTTTGTTTTTGTGATATTAGTACCTGTTAGTACCTTAGTTGGCATGCTGTGTGCTGAAAGAGTCAAAGACATTATGTGTTCCTGGCTTAGTCTGTGACCTAGGACTAGGTCATGTTTGAAGCTCCAGTCAAACAGTGCAGGACAGCAGTGTAATGGGGAGGAATTTATCTCTTGCAGCTGCCTGGGAAGAACCTGGAAGCAATGTGTAACATTTTGTGGAAATTTGCAATGCATTCCCTCTCTGTGTTTGACCATCGTCCCATTGTTTGCTATAGGGCTTTTTTAGGACATCAGTTCAACAAGATGTTATTTGCCTATATGCAATAAAGAGACAGCTCCTTCTAATCCACTTTTGCACATATTTTAAGGTCCATGCAGGTGTCATTGCTTCTTGGGATTCTCAGCTCCAGCAAGCTGAAGCAGCCATCATGCTCAAGCTGACACTCAAAAAGGCAGCAGTGTGATTCTTCTGGGGAACAGACTGAACCTCTAGCTAAAGAGAAAGGTTTCTGTGACTGACCAAACCAGAGAGATGAGGTAGCATTTCCCATCTGATGAGAGAGGCCTGTGAAGGTCTGTACTACCATGCGCATTCTGGAAATGTGTCAGGACATGGGATCTGGAGCCACTTCAGCTGCTCAGGGAGGAGCTGAAGAGTTGAAATATCTGATTTGGGTTGCCTGACCTCTTGAAAATTTTGTACTCCTAACAAAAGATGAGACTAGTTTGTTTATATGTTCACAAATGACTACACCTCCAATAAAAGAACACTTGTGGGTCATTTATTGAAGCTCATCCTGGCAGACAATTATAGCTACACTTGTCCCATGAGATGTCCAGCAGTGGCAGAATGAAGGGATTTCCCCACACAGATGGAGCAAAGCAGGTGGGAGACCCAGCCCTGACAGTCTGCACTGCCAGTGTATGAGGGGAGCACAGACCCTGTTGAACTTGGAAAACTTACTCTCATATACAAACAAAATCCATGTACTTAATGTAAAGACTATTTCACAGAACACTGTTATTTACATTATAGCTCTTAAAAACCTTTACAAGATACACTATGTAGTAGCTACAATGCATGTATCGTGTCAGCATTGCTGGGAGAACTGATGTGGTAGCATTGTTAGATGCTGTTCTTTCTTTTCTTTTTCTTTTTCTTTTTCTTTTTCTTTTTCTTTTTCTTTTTCTTTTTCTTTTTCTTTTTCTTTTTTTCCTGGGATTTTTGGTTATTTTGTTTTGCTTTCACAATTCAAATTGTTTAAATGTTATTAATCTAGATTTGCTGAAAAGGTCTGTGAACCTTTCAAGGAGCCTGGTCTGAGTTTGGAGTTTGTAACAAAACCTGAAGCCAGGCAAGTTTCATGTGGTTTTGAATTTCATCGTGAACGTTTCACCTGGATCTTGAAATAGGCTCAAAGTAACATTCCCAATTTGAAAGTCTGTGAGAATTTCCCTTTCAAAAGGATAAGGACTGTTTGGTGGCATTTTAAACAAAGAGTGGAATTCATCCACGTACTGATGAGCTGAACAAGGCCTTCACTTCAGCCTAATTCAGAGCTCAAAATAAGGACTTAATGTGGTACGTCAGTCTTATGGTGACCTTCTGCACAGAGATGAATGTCAACCCATACAAACATATACTGCATGGCTATTGTTTCAACTCCGGCTATTTTAATGTGGCATGAGAAGCCTTAAGGGAAGAAAAATATAGGTATATAAAATGAAAATACTGAGGTTAATGCAATACCAAGATTGATAAGTGTATTCTTCACTGGTGAGAAAATTTCAAAAGCACTGGTGCTCATCTAATAATTTTGACACCCTATGCCTTATGAGAGTTGCTGTTGTTTTCATACAACTACAAGTTGTGGAGCTCTGTAATTGTGTAAAAAACCTCATCTTTAAATTGAGGAAAAAAGTATACAATGTCATGGTTTGGGGAGAAAAATGGGAAAAGAAACCCTAATGTATAAAAGAACAAAGACAAAAAGAATCATTTTTTATGTTTAATGGTCTGATTTTTAGCCCAATCTCATGACCTTGGGATCATGACTTTTATTTTCAGTGCTGGCAACACTGGCAGAGGCAATATGCTGCTCTGCACATTTCAGCATCAGAGACTACAAAGTATATGTGTACTTTGGTCAAATGAGTGAACACCAGAAGCTACTGATGTGTTACCTGCATTTGGAACTGTTACTTCCTTGTGTTGATGCCAAAGCTGCCACTTAATAGCCACAAGCTGTTGCAGAAGGGAGGACAAGTGGCCAGCTGTACTGGTAACAGGTTGCTCCAGACCCAGGGCCCACTGCTTGCCCACTGCGAAGGGCAAGGGAAAGCCGTCTGAAGAGCACACTGCAGACAGGGCCACGGTGTGTGGGTTCTTGTCTGCTGGCTGCTCTGGGAGGATGCCTCAAAGTGATTTCTATAGACTTCTGTTACTATCGTTATGTTGGTCAAAGCTGCACGTTCTGAACGTATCTCTATATATGCCAATACTCAGTTGAATTGTGTTTTCACATGTATTTTTTTTTTTTTTTTGGGGGGGGGGGGGGGGGGGAGAGAGATAATGGGAAACAAAAGCAGTTTCAACAGTATAAACTGTAACACTCTAGAAGCATCTCCTTGCTTAAGGACACCTTGTCATTGCACTAGCAACACTTTCATCATGTAGCTACCCCAGTGATACCCCATGTGAGCCAGGAACATCTGCAGTATCCTCAATAATCAGAAGTTTTTCTAGCCATGTTGCTATGTCTTGTCCTGTCCTGTCCTTTCCTTTCCAATCTCTAGGCACAGATTTGTCACCTGGAGAGCTCTGGTCTCCCAGAAGAGTCTTCAGCTATTGAAAATCATTTTGACTTGACTGAATAGCTTCATGGACCACATCAATCAGGGCTTCCTGTGTAGTTTTCCTCTTATGTTACCTGGTAAAATAAGGACTGGCTGAGACAGCTCACAGCAGCTTCTACTGGCAACTACTGAGCTTTGTTTAGGCCTACTGTATTACTTTCAAGAAAACCAGCCTGTTGACCAGCCCATTCCCGTTCCTCCAGGTGCTAATCCCCTGCAACTGGTCTCCTCTGCCTCCTCCACAACACACACTCCTAGCACGTCTTCCTAAGAAAACGTAATACAGCTCTTCTACATCCAGGATGGACAGACACCCTTCCCAGGCATCCTTAATGCCTCAGCAGGACCAAGAGGAGAGGCAGTGAGGCTCTGGGAGAACCGCATCCCTGAGCCCACCTGCTAGCACCCAGACAGCATGGCATGGCCCCTCGTTAGATGAAGCCCTGAAAGCTGCTCGTGGTGCAAAGCCAGGAATGTGGTGAGCCTCTCGTGCAGCCGTCGGCCCCTTTCTGACCGATGCAGTCACGGCCGTGTGTAGGGGCGTGGGGTGCCCTGGCCGGGCAGGGTGCCCCATGTAGTGGGCCCAGCGGCGGGCCTCGGCGGGGTGAGCCGTAGAAGACCCGTTTGCCAGAGAGCACAGCCGGTGTGTGAGAGGGAGGGCCCAACCCGTGCTGCCTGGCCACTTCACGCCTTCCCTGCCGGCACGACGAGGCTGGGGAGCCCCGTCCAAGAGCTCCCCGGGGAATTCCTCTCAGGCGAGGGGAGTCCCCGGCAGCTGCGGGCCGGGGCGGCTTCCCCCGCCGAGCCGGAGCCGGAGCCAGAGCTGGGGCCGGGGCCGCGCGGGCAGAGGGAGGTGTGGCTGCCGGGGCCCCTCAGCCATTGCCGGCTACCGGGAACGTCTCGCCGCGGCCGCTCGCCGCCGAGCCCCCGCGGGCCGCCGGATCTCCCGGGGAAAGGCGCGGGGGCAGCGCGAGCCCGCGCGGCGCTGGCCGCCGCCCCGGCCGGGACCAGCCCGCCGGCGCCGGGGCACCTCGCCCCGGCCATTTTCCTCGGGAGGGAGGCGGTGGCGGCCGGCGACACCCGGCTCCGCGGCGCAGAGGCCGGGCGGCGGGGCGGGGGGGGGAGCCGCGCAGGCCGGGCCGGGCTCCCCCCCGGCTCCGGCCCCGGCCCGAGGCGGCCGCGCCGGAGCGGGGCGGGCGGGCGGGCGACCTCCGCCGCCGGCTCCCTGCCCGCCTGCCCCGCGGCCGCGGGCCGCCGCTAGGCCCCGGCCCTCCTCCGGGCCGCCGAGCGCCGCCGCGCCCGGAGGGAGCCCCGCCGCGAGCCGGCAGCCGGCAGCCCCCGTCCCGCCGCCGCGGGGAGCGGGAGCGAGGCGGCGGCGCAGCCGTCCCGCAGCCCCCCGCGGGAAGCGGCGGCCCCGGCGCGCAGGACCGCGGAGCGCCCCCGCCCCCCGCGCCGCTCCCCCTTTGAAAACTGATCTTTGGCTCTTCGCGTGAAAGTGATTTGAATTTGGCTCGGCGGCGCTCTGCGCAGGCGTCCAGCTGCTGGCATGCTGGCTCCTTGCAAAGCAGCTGTTTTGGGTTTGAAATTCCAACATGGCAGAGGCTGCAGTCAGTCTTCCCTTCAAAAACTTGGAATGATTTCAAATCATAGGCACCTTCACTTAACCCGAGCCCCCATTCATCAGCAAACACATCGGATCGATGCTACTCTAACCTATCGGGTGCTCGTACCAAATCTCCAGGTAAGAGGATCTCTCTTTCCCTCTCTCTCTCTCTCCCTCTTTTTTTTTTTTTTTTTTTTTTTTCCTTCGGTGTTCCTACCACCGGTTTAAATTTTGTTTAATCTCAAAGCTCTCCGAGACAGCCGTGTATTTTTTAAGCGCCCGCTCGTGCCCGAAGTATTTTGTCTAATTCGCGGTCGTTTTTTGATGTTAAATACTCCGCTCTGCTTTCCTAATCGTAGTCTGGAAAGTCCAGCTATACAATCGCAGTGCATGGTTTTTCCTCCTTGATCATTGCCAACAATAGTAGGCAGATTAAGAGTTGGCGATCGCAAGCTCCCTCCCCACCTCCTCCTCCTAATTGGATTTATTTTCAAGTTGCATTAAAAATAATAAACTGCCGGGAACGCGGGGCTGGACTTTGAGACAAGTAACTTCGGAGCAAATAAGTGCAAATAAGAAGCTCGCAAAACAAAAGTTGGGTTTAAATTGCTGTGTCTCGGCTGGGGGGGCACGGATATGTCAGAGGAGCTGTTGCAGTAAAATGTAAGCACATCATCTTGGAGGGGGTACAGCGTGGTGGGCGTATTGTTGGCTCGGAAGGGAGAGAAAGATGTATAATTTAATGGTATATACAATCCACTGATCCTATTACTATCCTCCCTGGAGCTCTTGTTAGTTTCAATGGGAGTGAGTGAAATTGACATGGACTTGCATTCCTGGTCATGTGCTTTTTTTCCCCCTTTCTTTCTTCTCTTGTGATCTGAGATCCCCTTTTTGTTGATGTTGCTTTCCCACTTAATTATATGCATGTAGGTTAAATGAATACCTGACGAAAGGGCCCACGTTTCAAGGCAGTGACATTTGATAGCTGAGAGGAAAAGTGGCTTTAATGAAAAGCAACCTTTGGAATTCCTGCTTGTGAAAAATCCAATTCAGCTTTTTGTGCTGCCAGCAAGAAATGATCAGTAGCACCAGTGTTTATGGTATGTCCGTTTTGGGATCTACTTCCTTTGCATCTAAATAGCAAAGACAAATTTAAATGGCATGATAACGCACCGAGGACTCTGCATGCAAATATTTTGTAATAAATACCTAATGTTTAATAGTATATTTTCACTCGTGTATATATAAGCATTTTTTTCTCTTGCTATCATTTGTTTATCATTTCTGCTTTGATTATAGCGTTAGTTTTGTCTATTGTATTGACCTCAGTTGTAAAACCTAAAGTTGCATGTTACTCACAGTGCACTGTATACACCACTGAACTCCAATGGTATGTAAATTAGTAAAACTCGCTGACTGGAGAAGGTGCAATTGCGTAGCTATGAATATATGCACCTATATGTCTACATAGTCATGCATACATGCCTGAAATGCATCTTTTCCTTTTGCAAACTAATTATTATTATTGTTATTTTTGATTATTTACTCGAACTCTGGCTGCTTTTCCCTCTTTTACTTTCAGCGTAATCATCTGCTAGAGGTTTTAACTGATGTGGGGTAGGGGGAATGTTTTGCATGTAAACAAACAAACCCAGTGTTGTGGCTGACTGTTTAATACTGTTTAATAAGTGGTATTTCATGCTCAGTTTACAAGTGTCTGGTTCCCACTGCTCTGTTCTGAACGTGTAGCAGAATGAAATAATCAGGTGCTGAAACTGGCTTCATTTTAACGGTCACTCTCCAGCCCCCCATGCCGCCCCCTCCTCCAAAAAAGTCAGATAAAATGGAGCATGGGGAATTTCAATAGGTCTCCTAGTGGTGCAGGAGATGCACCTCTAGGTATGCAATTAAGACTAAAGAACTAACAACAGAAGCGACTATTAGTCTGTTTTGTGCAACCAAAAAGGGGGTACGTCCACTTTTAATAGCGTGTGGTAGCAACAAATAAGGATGGAGAGAGACCCTAGGAGAGAGAGAGAGAGAGAGAGTGTGTGTGTGTGTGTGGTTTGGGATAAGGGGAGGTCTGGCTTGTGTGGCTGATGATCTCTCGTAATAACATATCTGAATGCAAGAAAGAGATTGAGAGAGCAGTTGCACAATGTACACTATTTTGGTGTTGTAGGTGACTATATTGCTAAACATATCCTGGGTGCTATACGATGGGAATGATCTGATTGCATTTTGCATTTAGAACTTGTTGACTTTGAAGCGATCAATAAGGCGACTGTTTATTTTAGATGCACATAATTTGCCCTGAGAAATGTTTTAAGGAGGAGAGCGAGCGAGCGAGAGCGGAACATTTTTTTTTTTTTTTTCTTCCTAGAGCTGTTGGAGCGAATGTGATTGCCAGATGGGAGATTTCCCTCTGTGATGTTAAAGCTGTAATATATATTCAGAGCAGATTGGACTGCTGCTTGTGATGAGGAGGATATTACATTTATAAATTTTAAATCGGGAATCGGACAGTATGCTGAGAGCTGAAATTGGATGGTGTGGACGGTTTGGACTGTTAAATGCGATTCCCAGATAATAATAATAATTACAGTAGCGGTAATATATATACGTGTAATAAACACGGTAGTATCAGGCAGCGGTATATATACTATGGCACTTAAGTATATATTGCCAGATATGGTTTCTCCTCGCTTCCCTCCGCATTCCCTAAAATGTTAGGGGTTGGAGGTGGTGGGGAGGGGGGTTCAAAGCCCACTCTTTAGAGAAATCAGATGTAACGGGGCTCTTTTCAGAGGAAAAGTTTCGCTGCAATTCTTGCTGGGGATGCACCTCTGCCTGAGTTTTTGTTTTGCCCATGTATGTGGCCTGACAGTGCCACAATCCTGAAGGGCTGGAAAGTGGGAACTAGTCACACTCCAGCAGCTCTGCTGTTGCAAATTAAAAGTGTGTTGTGGTCAGGAAATGAAAGCTACAATGTCTCTTTTGAACAAGTCGTTTATCAAGAGAAACATCTATCAAGCAATGACTTGTCACATTGATCCTCTAAAAGTTAGGTCTGAAGTGGAAGCTGCTTTGATGTTTTTGATCCCAAATTTATAAAATTGAAAAAGCTGGAGAGAGTAGGACCGATTTGCACTTAAAAATGACTCCGCTCAGGGCGTGACAAAATCATCAAGTATCTGTGATACAGAGCTGGTAAACCAAGGAGGTATCGGATCTTCCACCTAATTTTTATTTTCATGTTGAAACTTTACCTTTGCCGTGCATGCATCTGTGTTCGTAGTTTTAAAGATCCTTTCTGTATGCTTGTGCGTTATTTCATCAGGGGTATTTTCTTGCTCAGGAATACATCTGTTGCTTTCAAATTGAGCCTTTTTCCATAGTTGTTTTTGTGATGGTATTTATAGTGTTCAGTCTGAGGAGGCAATCTCAGATACCTTTTTTTTTTTTTTTCCTCTCATCTCAGTCTTGTGTCTTCTACTGTATTTTTAATGTCGATTTCACCTCTCCTCCTCATGAAGCAAACTTTTGTTTACTGCCAAAGTAATGTTTATTGCAAATGAGGGTACGTTTGGAGACATCTGTTTGCACAGCTTAAAACATGTTATGAGTCCTGCTAAGTGTGTCTTCCCCTCCTCATCCTCTTTTTGTTTCCATTTTTGACATGTGAACCATACTTTCTTTCTCAAGAGAAGCAGAGTATTTCAAATTGAATATAAAGCGAGGTTTCAAGACAGAAAAGACCAAAACAAAGTCTAACCTGATCTTTTCCCTCGTCTGTGTTTATTTTCAGTCATTATAATTGTTTAGTGACTTTTTAGAAAAGTTTTTCATTTTGCATGAAGTTTGTGTTTGGATTATCAGGGAATCCCTCCAACTGAATGAAAGAGAGGGGTTTGGTTTGTGTGTGTGTGTTTTCCTTTTTTTTTTTTTTTTCTCTTTTCCTTTTTTTTTTTTTTTTTCTTATCCGCTAAGGTATGAGGGAAGTCTTCCTTAAATCAGGATGCTTTGACTTCTTTTCTTCAGTGTCACAAATGAGGCTAATACTTATGGATACTTGATAGAGACCCATTTGCAAATAGGCAACAAACAGCAGCGTGGTGGGAGTTTTGGTGAGTGTAATACTTGCTAATTAATCATGTTTGAAATGAAGGAATCATAGCGTGGTAATAAAGGCTCATTGTTGTTTGATGTTTGTAACAGGATGTGACTCCTACATGAATCTGGCGGGTTTGGGGTTTTTGTTGTTATTTCCCCCTTCATAATAAGATACTTGCTGTACACAGTCAAATTGTTTTTTATTTATTGGAACATCTGTGAAAACACGTGTATCTGCTCTCTTATTCCAGCAGCATTTTAGAAAATATGAAGATTGTATTGTTATTGATCTCTTCATCATACAGTTCACAAGAACAAATGACAGTCTGATGTCATTAACTGTTCTTTTATCCTTAAAACTTTTTTTTTTGTTTAAGTGGAATTTTTTCCTCATTATAAAGAGACTACTACTCATTTTCTTATGACTGATAAAATAGCTCTTCATGAACTTTTGTGCCCTTCTTGCTTACACATCACAGTAAGGGACAGTAATAAAACGTGTATTTCAGAATAGTTTGTATACTAGTCCTGTGAAGTGTAAAAATGTTTGGATGCTGGTTTTGTTTCTTTTTTTTTTTAACATTGCTCTTATCATATATGTCATCTTTAGGCTTTACTGTTCATCTTTTAATTAATAATAGTGCTGTATATGATGGAGAGAGATGTGATAATCTGTTTCAGACTGCAAAGCTTTAGGTTCAAATTTTAATTAATTAATAGAGGCTATTTTATACTGCACGAATAAGGTTTATAATCTGCTTTTGTTTAGATGGTCTCCTCCTTTTTTAAAATATAAATTCTAGAGGAAAATGATTTTGTACGCTTCCTGTCAATATGTTTGTTCAATGAATGCATACAAGAAGCATTGAACGTAATGACTGATCTTCCTGTAGTCTTAATCATCAATTAATAGGCTTATCTGCTTGTTAGGAGTGGGTTTAATGGTACAGAATCCGCATGAGATCTCTGTATATGAAACATTTGTATGTTGTTTATAATAGACTGAGTTTTGATCTAGCATTCCCAGATCTAATAATAGAAATATTTGGCTCTTTGCCCCGAATCAATATACCCCTTAAGAGAACAAACTTCACATAATACTTTCATAAAGTGCCAGATTTATTGATATCGAGTTGATAAATTTAATTACTGGGGTTTTACATTGATTCATTGATCTTATGATTGGAGGAAATTGTTCTGCAGACATTTCTGAAATATTGAAAAATATAGCGTGTCAATAAAGCTTGATTAATTGATCAATCAGCACTTTTCCCCCCTCTTAAGTCATTGATAACAAAAGGCATAAAATAAGTATAGAAATAATTTGGGATAAATCAAATAAAGAAATTCTTATTTGCTATTAGCAGAACATATGAGAGGCAAAACACTGTGCTTGTGGAAAAAAAAAAAAAGTTCAACTTTGAAGTGGAATTGTGCATATTGGGCTCAATCCTTAGCTGGCATAAAATGGTTTAGCTTTAAAGAGCTGCAGTGATTTACAGTTCCCAGAATCTGTCCCATGGTGGCTTTTTGTGTGTGTGTGTGTGGTTTTTTTTAGGTTTGTTTTTTTTTAGTACTGTTCTTTGGTTTATTGGAAGCTGTTTAAAATCAGATATTATGGCTACCAAAATATATGGAATTTTAGATAAGCATCTGATCCAAAATGAACAGTATAGCTATAAAAGTAATTTGAACAGCTGTAAATTCAGGATTGCGTATCCCTGATATTGTTGCAGAGTATTAAACTCTTGCTGCTAGAGATGCTATCCTCTAAGTGAAAACTTATCTTCCTTATGGGAAAGACCACTTCAGGGAACTTTAGGCTGGGAAAGGGCCTGGAGTTTTTTTGTTGCTAAAATAATAATAAAAAATTCCAATAAATAGAATTAGATATAAGGATATTTTCCAGGTGAAAAACCTTACTGGAGCATTTGGCTCCATTTCTACAAGGCATGTGACCTTTTCACCCTATGTCAATGATATTTTT